ATGGGAGTTTATTTTAAGAGAGTGAGGGTTTATTTAATGTATAATGCACCTCCTAAAAGGTTTACTTTCTGCCCCGTAATATGTTATTTCAAATCTTCGCAACCACATTTCCCCACGAGGATAGAGGATACTGCCCTTTTTTCAAACACACGCTAGTACCAAATGTCTTGCAGATGTGCTGCGAAGAAAAGAAAAGAGGGAAAGTGTAAGCCAGAGAGTTTACGAAGGGTGGCAACATTGTGCTGAGGTCAATTTCTCAAAAGATCAGCTCCTGTCTGATTGTAATAATAACGTACAGATGACTTTAATGTGGTGGGAGTCAAGCACCGCTGCAGTGTTCCACACAGATTGTGCCAGATCTCAATAAAAGTGAAACCTGCCAGAGTTGTGTATCTCATCAAAACAAGTGTTTCATTATCAGATATAGTCTCTGTACTTTTTTACAAATATAATTCATGGTATTTGCATCTTAATCATTTTTCATTCTCAACACGAGTTCCCTTAGAGAAATAAAAAATTGCTTTGTTTCTTTTTTTCCTCTAACAAAATTATATCGCTGAGCACAGAGAAGTCATATTCACTTTATTAGGACTTTGACAATACAATCGTGCGCTTGCGAAATATTTTTTTTCTTTTCCGATGGAACACTAGGGACCGAGCCAACCCAGAATCGTGCCTGTTTATGAACATACTCATTGCCCTCATAGTTCCATTTCTTAAAGGCAGAGAGAGACAGAACGAAAGAGAGAGAGAAAAACACACAGCACCTCATTACATCCCAGTGTCGGCGCCCCCATCTCTCTCTCCTTTTCCCCCACGATTTCTCCTCGTTCCCCCACCACCCTTGTGATCTGTGGCAGAGGCAGAGAGGCATGGTTAACAGATGGACGGCAGCTTCTCCTCCTTTTCCTCAAGAGATACCTGCTCACATCTCTCTCATTCTCCTTAGGTTTTCTCTTGGATTTGCTCTTTGTACTCTTGCTTTGAGCCCAATATATCAAATGAGAAAGGTTGTGGGTTAACTTGTCTTATCTTTACCTCTCTGTCCTGTAGCATCCCTCTGTGACCCTTCAGCCCTTTGGTGGTGACCCCTCTTCCAGGCTTTCTTCTGTCTGTCAGACTAAGCCAAGTCTTTCCTGTGGTTCACTTTGGGGGGAGGGATCTTTCTGGCCCTCGTCTCTCTCTCTCGTTCTCACCCTCCCCATATGCTTTGGCTATGGATTAGTGAATTGGCTTATCAAGGCAGAGAAAGCCTGTTAGTAGTCCCTCTCCGCCTTACTCTTTCTCTCTCTCTGGCATAATTTCACATACTAAACACTAAAAACCTCTCACACACATATATTTGATCTCAAATGCACACATAGTCTTTGTTCCCTTGATTTCAGCAGGGGTCAGTCACACTTGTGCATCAAGAACAGACATATTCAGCCATAAATTGTATATGAGTGCTTGTGTGGTGGCGACGGGACCGTTTTTATGTCTAAAGCGCCTCTGGCTGCTGATCAACCACAGCTTGTCTGCTGTAGTTCGGCTTTACTGGTGTAAATTGGATTGTGCCCATCTGTGGTAATCTGAAAGCTGATGAGTGTGAGCATGTGTACATGTGAAGGAGGGGATGATGGAATGAGAGAGATGGGGGAGGTGGGGTGGCCAGGGTGTACAGGGTGAAGGGAGAGTGAGAGGCTGTGCTGAGGATGAATCAGGTTGCCTGAGTACTTACGGGTGGGGGAAGGATACCTGGTGCCTCAAATCATCCCATATACTGTATAGTACCACCAAAAAAAAATATTTGAATGCTTAAGTCACACATAAAATGAATGGATATCTTTATATCCTTTAGATTAAAAAAAAAATTGATAGATAGATAGATATTTTATTTAATAAAAACATGTTATTTGTACTTAAATACTATTTAAGTATTAAATATTTAATACTTAAATATAGACAATTAAACCAATCTATCTATCTATCTATCTATCTATCTACAGCGGGTAAAATAAGTATTGAACACGTAACCAACAAACCAGTTTTCTCAGTAATAATATTTCAAAAGGTGCTGTTGACATGAAATTTTCACCAGATGTCGGTAATAACCCAAGTAATCCATACATACAAATAAACAAAACACATAATTTCAGAAATTAAATTATGTGTCATAAAATGGAATGACACAGAGAAAAAGTATTGAACTACTGAAATTTATTTAATACCTTGTACAAAAGCCTTTGTTAGTAATGACAGCTTCAAGACGCCTCCTGTCTGGAGAAACTAGTTGCATGCATTGCTCAGGTGTGATTTTGGCCCATTCTTCCACACAAACAGTCTTCAAATCTCGAAAGTTCTGGGGGCCTCTTCTATGAACTCTGATCTTTAGTTCTTATTTTCTATTGAATTCAAGTCAGGTGATTGGCTGGGCCATTCTAGCAGCTTTATTTTCTTTTTCTGAAACCAACTGAGAGCTTCCTTGGCTGTGCTTGGGATCATTGTCTTGCTGAAATGAACACTCGTTTCATCTTCATCATCCTGGTACTGTAGGTGTTGGGACTGAACCAGCTAATATTAATTTCCACTGATTAGTGGCAGGATTGCTTTCTAATTCATGATAGATTTTTGCTGGTGTTCTTGTTTTCCAATCCTTTTTGCAACTTCATTT